ACTGTGTTTTCACACTTACAACACATATCAACTTGGATGAGCCAGCCATGGGTTAAGTGCTTGATAACTACATATAGCCAGTGACCACCTCATAGTGCAGTCTACAAAATAATTCTTCTCCTAACTATACCTTCCATGAGTGACAAGGACACTGGATTTGAAATCAGAAGGACAGAGTTCTAGTCCCTGCTTAGCTGAACTGTGTATAGGACTCTGAGCTGAGCTATGACTGAAAGTCATGTTGTCTTGGTCTGAGCATTTAAGAATTGTCAAACCAATACTGAACACAGATTCAGTCACAGGTCCTTTGTTGTAAATGACAGAAACCAACTAAGATGAACTTATGCAAAAGAGGGGAAGAGAGTTGGGGAGTTCCCTGGAAAGATCTCAAGAGTTCACAATACTGATAAGAGAGTGGCTGGCCAGCTTTGGAAGACAGACCCACAGGAGAACAGTAGACACAACCACACTTGTTTGCTAGAAGGATTCTGCTGGAGGACTCACCACCCTGGGATACCACCATCACAGCTTCTAACACAGCCACAGCTACCACAAAGGAACTCAACGCCTCTGTAGTCTTTCTGTCATTGGTACTACATTTAGTGTCCTGGGAGAGCCCAACACCACACCTGACTCCTGGAAGCCAGGTCCAGGATGGGGAAAATAATCTCCCTTTAAGGCCTCACTGCCAGCTTCACCAGTGAGTACCTTAGGACACAGGCACTCATCTGAGTATAAAGAAGTATCAGGAATTACCTTAAAGTCAATACTGTTATATTTTCAAGGACCTTAACTATGCAATTTGATCTGGGAGGCATTGATTAGATAATACTTCCCATCTCAATTCTTACCAGACATAAGAGAGCTAAGAGCTGTTAGTGGGTTTTCTGAACTTCAAGGTCCCAGAGGGTAGCAAAGGCCATGTATTGTGATGTCAGGATCCCTGAAATATTATCAAGTAGTATCAATACATCTCATTTAAGAAGAATAGCAACAGAATTATGCTATTTCTAGATGCCCATGTTTTAAAAATTAAAATTTCACAGTTCCCTTTTAAAATTCTTGAAATTTTCAGAAGTGTTCATAGATAGATTTCTAGTAAAATAAAAAATTAAAGTGAACATAGCATATCACATAGAATAAGAAGAGAATTAGTCAAAAGATGTGAAAACCTCTCCGATTCTGCACCAATAACTCATTGTGTGCATTAGCTTCTCACAATATGTGTATTCTTTCTCCCGGAATTTTTTTGTACCTCTGTACAATATAAAAATGAAATCTTCTCCACAAATCCTATAACACCAAATTAGATCTGTACTAAAATCCTAAGATCCTATTCTTGTACAAAATATCAAAATCATTTCTATTGTGGTGATAATGCTATTGTTTTATGATGATATACTGTACAAAATGCCATTATCAAGGAATTACATTCTGTGAACAATGAATACAGTAGCAGTCTATTAATGTATCACCATTGATTTACTGAATACATTTATTCTTTGGGTCCTCAAAAGCCTTTATAAATCCACTCTATACTTCAGGGCAAATAATAGCACTAACCCTCCAGAGGCAGGTATGGTTCATGTCCTGTTTTGCTATCATTAGATGCTGTTTCCAGTTCTATCCCAGATGCTGGAGACCAGATTGTGGGAAGGAGAAATGTTATGAAAACAGCATCAGGTAAGTGATGAACTATTTCCACAGCTTTCACAACAAATAGCAGAGTGAGGACCATGTAGGAAGAACAGTGAGGGCATACTCTCCTCCTACATCCTCCTGAATCCGCGCAAGTCATACAGAAGGCATGCCACTTATTATTCACTGAGGGAAGAAGGAAGTGGGACTTTAGCCGTTCCTTCAAGTGAGTCAGACTAAGGCTTTCCTGCTTTTTTCAGTCTCCTTTTGGATGAAATACATTTAACAGAAATATGTGCCATTTGGAAAGCATCTTCAATCTTAAGGCAGCAAGAACTCTAATTGTCACTTTTTCTCTAAAATGATCAGACAAAAGAAAGAAATATAATACACTAAATGTAAATGAAAATTTGCAGGATCCCAGACCAGCAAATCTTACATTAGTTGCTAGGGGGAAAAGGATTATTAAAATAAACATTAAAATGCATTTTTAGTTATTTAGGTTTCAAAACAGCTGTGAGAACAACTGTTGACTACTACCCCATGATGATATTCTATGCCAATAGAACTTATTTTCAACCATAACTTAGAGGGATATAAAAGAAAAAGATGTTACAGCTAATATGATTATAAAATGGAGAGTGTTCATCTGCTTAAAGAATCATCAGGTCCAGGGGAAAATTACAACATGCTTTTTTTGTGTGTGTTTGTTAAATAACCAAACGTATTTTATTAGCAATAGAAACCTTGGCTTTGGGCATTTCTGAGGATTTAATGAGTAACTGACATTTACAGCCCAAGGCAAAATTCTTCCAGCCTTTCAAAAATCCCCAGGAAATGCCCTAGGCAAGCCTTGATCATGATTGCTCAATTATTATTACTTCTCTACTGGGGAAGATACTTCTGGTGTTCATGGGTACTCAATGGTTCTGTCTGCCCTTTCTGGGTACACAGAAGACTATATTTCTTAGTGTCCTTATAATTAGTTGGGGCCATGTTTCAGCTAATGAAATAGAAATAGGAAGGGCATTATGATTTCTGGAGTGAATTAGTGAAAAGCAGGAGTCTCTGGTTATTTGTGACTTGCTGTAGATACCAATGAGCTTGAGGCAGGGAAGCCAAAAGATCAAAGCAGCCTAAATCCCTAAATCACCACAGGGATCTACAGTGGACTCTGCGTAAGTGCAAAATAAACTCATATTGTGTTAAACCACTAAGATTATGGAACTGTTTAGAATAGCACATAACCTAGCCTATCAAGTACTTAAAATTTGAATTAAAAATATATCATTCTAGCAAAAATATTTACCTAGCCTCACTAGTATTTCTTCAGAGTAGATTGAAGCATACTCGTGGACACAGTAGGTCTGGCACTTCAAAAACCAACTTTTGAGGCGGGATCAGGTGGAAAAGACACCAACCCAGATATAGGCAGATACCAAACTCATTAAGCAACTGGTGGACTGCACTGCAAGTTAAATATTTGTGATGTCAGGAAATTTTCACAGAGAGGAAAAACACGAATGACTTATGAGTGTAAACTGAAGCAAGTTACTTAGCCTTCTAAGACTCAATTCCATTACCTGTAAAATAAAAATGCTATGATTGCCTAATGTAGCAGATACGTTGATGCTGGTATCCTCTCTGGCCTTACCAGCACAGAGCATGCTGGCCAACTTCTGTACCTCTTTGCCTAATAGCTTTCTCTGGTGGCTGGAGCCTGCTCACCTTCATCCACAGTAGCCAGGTGTTTTGGAGAATTAGTGTCCCCTATGTGAAGCCCTCAAAACAAATGCTGGGAGTTAATGCATAACACCCCAGCTCTCTCCCTTCATCCCTGAGGTGAGATAACTAGTTCCTTAGAGGGATCAAGCTCTGGTTTCCCTCAGTACTACCATGTCTGATAACCACTGATTGTCTGCTTTCCCTTCTTGGTGTCACATGCCACTCTTGTCCTAGGATCACTGAAATCGTTGTCTGACAGGATGTCTCTGGGACAATCCAATCTCAGAACTCAGCTTGGGGATAAATGGAAGAATTCAGAACAGAACAACAGCAAAATCCATACTTCTGTGCCCTATCTCCAGACAGTACTTCATAGATGTTAGCATTTGTTATTACTTTTGCTATTTATTATGAACTTTGGGGAAAAAAAGAGACAGGAAAGGCTTCAATAAAATTATATGACTAAGGCAGGCTGACATTGTGGAGTAATGGGTAAATAAAATGGGCTAGAGTTAACCAAATAATTAAGCAACAGGTATCCTATTTGTTGAAAGATATGATAACAGGTAGCTCTTAGGAGAGAAAACAGAGGCACTCAAAAATGCTAGCAGCACCACTGAGAGGGCAAGAGGGAGAATTAGCACCATAGCCAGGGGCCCAGGGCCTGAGGTGCTAGATTGGGTAGGCTGGATAGAACACCCCTGAGGGTTGTTAGCAAGTCACACACACACACCAGAAGCATGGTAATCATCATGTACAACACATAACACAAAGAGGACAATCATCAGAGTGGCCTGCATTGCATTTTCCACGAAACGTGAAGAATGTGTGTCACAGGCCAGTTCTGATCACGGGACCTAAGCTGCCAGCTCCTGAGTTACTATACTCAAAAAATTCTGTCCCTACATGCAACAGAGTTTACATGTTATTCATATATATAAATAGTTTACATATGTTGTTCACAAAGCAGCCAGCTCCAAGAAATTGCCAATTTATTCACAGGTCTTCCTCAAAACCAGTCCTTGTAGATGGTCACAAATCAGTACAGAAGGCCACTGTGTGTGTTGTGCTCTCCAACTCTGCTGGAGCAGCCTCAGGCTCAGGCATACCTGACTCCCCCAACAGGCACCAGGGGCAACTGGGAGAGGAAGTGGGACATAACAGGAGTTTAAGGAATATCACCATCCTCTCTCTTTTCCTGAATGCCAGGGGGTCAGGACAGGGCAGGTGCTAAGCCTCAAGGCTTAGGCCCATTCCTCAGGAGAGAAGTGGCCCCACCACCTCATCTGTGAGAACTCCCTGGGGAGTCACCTGTTCCTTCATAAGTTTGAAGAAGCCACATGCTAGGCACATTCTCTGTAGGAAGCACCAACCATATTGGCCTCACGTGAAGTGGGGAATGTCGCCATGTGGTCTCTGGGGCCAGAGGGGCCTGTCTCCCCTGCCAGCCTGTGCACTTCCTGAGTGGAGGCCTTCCCTTCAGCACCTAGAACATGCCTAACACAGCAGGTATTCAAAAATTGATAATGGGAAGGATGTTAAATAATAATAAAGTTAGGCCAGGCATTTAATCTCTCTGAGACTAAGTTTCCTCATCTAAAAAAATGAAGTTAACGGCTGTTTGTTTTTTTTCACTTAAAAGTATAGACTGCTTTATGAATTTGTGTGTCACCCTTGTACCGGGGCCATACTAATCTCTGTATCATTCCAATTTTAGTACATGTGCTGCCAAAGCGAGCACGAAATTAACTGCTTCAATTGAGGTTGTTATGAGGAGTTAGAAAAAAGTAAGTGTAAAATGCCTGCCACAGAGTAATGCTCAGTAAACAATAGCCTCAACAACCACAAAGTAAAATGTGCAATGGACATTTCTGTGCTAGGCACTAAGAAGTCAAAGGCACTAGGCATTCAATGAGCCTAAAGCTTTAGAACATGAAATAATGTGCAGCCATTAAAAAGCTATAAGTGAAGAAATCACATAGAACAAGACTATGGGAAACTATGAGTATCTTGATAAGAGGTTTGAACCTAGCACTTTCATCTTCTGGCAGTGGGGAGCAACCGAAGATTACTTATAGCAGTAGTGACTTCATCGTATCTATGTCTTAAAAATAAGATTCTTTTTTTAAAAAATTAAATCATAGCTGTGTACATTAATGCAATCATGGTGTACAATGTGCTGGTTTTATATACAATTTGAAATATTTTCATCAAACTGGTTAACATAGCCTTTGCAGCATTTTCTTAGTTATTGTGTTAAAACATTTACATTCTACACCTAGTAAATTTCACATGTATCCTTGTAAGATGCACCGTAGGTGTGGTCTCACCACTTACCCTCCCTCCACCAATCCTCCCCCCTCTCCTCCCCTCCCTCTCCCCTTTCCCCTTCTTCTTAGGCTATAATTGGGTTATAGCTTTCATAAGAAAGCGATAAATTGCTTTCATAGTAGGGCTTAGTACATTGGATACTTTTTCTTCCATTCTTGAGATACTTTGCTAAGAATATATTCCAGCTCCATCCATGTAAACATGTACAAGGTAAAGTCTCCATCTTTCTTTAAGGCTGCATAATATTCCATGGTGTACATATACCACAATTTATTAATCCATTCATGGGTTGATGGGCATTTGGGCTTCTTCCATGACTTAGCAATTATGAATTGGACTGCAATAAACATTCTGGTATAAATATCTTTGTTATGATATGATTTTTGATCTTCTGGATATATACCTAGTAGAGGAATTATAGGATCAAATGGCAGGTCTATTTTTCGATCCCTAAGTGTTCTCCAAACATCTTTCCAAAAGGAACGTATTAGTTTACATTCCCACCAGCAGTGTAGAAGTGTTCCCTTTTTGCCACATCCATGCCAACATCTCTGGTTTTGGGATTTTGTGATGTGGGCTAATCTCACTGGAGTTAGATGATATCTCAAAGTAGTTCTGATTTGCATTTCTCTGATGATTAAGGATGATGAACATTTTTTCATACGTCTATAGGCCATGAGTCTGTCTTCTTCAGAGAAGTTTCTCTTCAAGTCCCTTGCCCACCCTGAGATGGGATCATTTCATTAGCACCTTTTCTTGCTAATACATTTGAGTTCTCTGTGGATTCTGGTTATTAAACCTTTGTTGGAGACATAACCTGCAAATATCTTCTCCCATTCTGCGGGCTGTCTGCTTGCTTTACTTACAGTGTTCTTGGCTGTGCAGAAGCTTTTTAGTTTGATGAGGTCTCAGTAGTGTATTTTTGATAGTGCTTAAAAATAAGATTCTTGAGGCCATGTGGAGGTTTGAGTGAGGGGAAAGTCTGGAAACAGGGCAATTAAGACATGAAATGCTTCAGGTTAAAATGATGGTGACTAGAACTAGAGCAACAGGGATGGAGAAGACAGACTAGATTTGAGGCCCACCGTGAAGGCAGAGTGATGACTAATTAGTTGTAAAATGGGACCAAGATCTGGAGTATAACTCTGGGTTTCTGTTTCTATCTTCCTGGTACAGTTTAACTTTCTTAGAACTAGGGCTTGAGGGTCTTTGTAATTTGGGGTCTACTACTATTTAAGCTTCAAAATCTTTCCTTGACCCCATGTGCCCTAGTTTCCTAGTTACCTTTGAGGATGAATTTCTGGATCTCATTTTGGCAATGAGACAGACTCAAAAAGAGCTTTACACACACATGCACCTGTACATGTGTATACATATACCCCCCCCACACATTTGGATTAATGACTGCCAAAAGAATTTAATCTTTCAAACACATTCCTCCCTTAAGTATAGTTTCAAGGGATGAAATCTCTTTATAAATTCCATTGAGGCCAGCACTAGCACTTTGGGAGGCTGAGGTAGGAGGATCACTTGAGGCCAGGAGTTTGAGTCCAGCCTAGGCAATATAGTGAGGCCCTATCTCTCTAGATAGATAGATGACTCCACTGAGACAGAGCAAAGGGCTATATATAAATTCTTAAGATTTTACAAGCCTTTTCCCCAAGTGTTAGGAGGAACCCCAAAGTAGCAAGTTTAAGTCTATGTGTGAGGGGGCCTTGCACAGTGGTCACCCATGGCATCTTGGCTTTACTGTTAGAAGACCGTTAGGTACCTTCCAGAACCCCTGGGCACAGTGGCATCCAGTAGAAAATCCTCTGGGCTCCTTAAACAGGACCAGTAACTCAGTGTGGCACCTTCTATGTTCCAGTTTCTAATGATGATCACATCCACAAGGCCCTTCCAGCCAACACTTCTACTGATCTATGGAAATGGAGCAAATGCTCCATTACTGAAATTACATTTGAAGGGGAAAAAAGCCAGGACAGTCTCATAGGTATGCATGACTAAATTGTTTCCTGCATCAATGCAGTACAGTAATTCAGAGGAAGGAGAGGGTCTAAATTGTAGAATTATTTTAAATTCAGTTTCATTCATTTTAACTGCTCAATTGAATTGCTAACAAAGTGGTTTCAGGGAGAGGCCCTGCCAAGTCTACTTTAATAAAGAAAAAGAGTTCATTTGTAAATAGTGACATCAGTGGTATAGAAGTCCTTAGAAACATTTTGCCCATGTAAGGAGGCAAAACATGCCTCTACAATGCTATTTACATTCTTCATTGCTCCACTGACACTTTTCTCATAGGTGGTACAAGAACAAATTTCAGCCCATGCCAGGTCACATAATCATAAATTCTACATGAGGAAAATTCAAACGGAGGCATTTACTGAATCCAAGCACAAATTCTAGACGAAAAGAATCAGTGTTTGGGGTCAGGTTAGAAAGGAGAGAAGAAAGAGGGTATACTGCATAAGAATCTCTTGGTTCACAAGGCCTTGACTCTCACTCTAACCACATGAAGTCACCTGCCTGCAGTAGCTCGGGAGTGCAAAGACCACCATCTCAGGTGGTCTTTCATGGCCACCCCACCTCAGGAGCCTCTCAGAAGCAGAGCTCCACACCCGTGCCTTACACCTTTAACATGAAAGGAAGCTGTACATGGACCATGGGAGAGAAAGTAAATCTAATGTATTTTTAGAGACTACAAAAAAAGAGCCACTTACATCAATCATTCTGGTGTGAGCGTTAACTATAGAATGTTTGTGTGTTTTCATTGAATCCTGTCTACCAGAGATGAGGGTCTCCCTTTCCTTTGCTCTCAAGGACAACTAGCCAGCTAGTTACCCCTGTAATTCTAGTAACCTGTGTGTTGGGAGTGTGAAGTCAAGGCGTCCCTCAACCTTTTCTTCACCAGGACAAGTGACCCATACTGCTGAGAGATTTCCTAACAAGTCCTGCCTTCCACAGTCTGACTGCAGTTCACAGCCATGGCCAGCACCACTGCATGAGGTGACGCCTCAAAGCCGGCTGCTCGCTCTCAGCCCACAGCTCGCTCTCAGACCACAGCTTGCTCTCATCTTTCTGGGAAAGTTATGTCAGCTACCATCACCTAGAGATGTGTTGGGGAAAACCAAGTAAGAGGAAGTATGCTGAAGGATCAGAAAACAGCCACCTGGGATTTAGTTCAGGAGCTCATGAGCTGAAAGGATTTTTCTATTTCACCTGTCTACATGTTCTTTAAAAAACAAACAAACAAACAAAAAACTAAGGGCCTTTTTAAAAAAATGTCATCACATATCTGCATATCGCTGCAGTTGTATTTTGATCTTGGTAGCCCTCTAGAGAGGCGTGGGTTCGCAGAGGCTGCCGGGGCCTTTAGTGGTGGTGCCCAGCTACTAATCAGGGTGTTGGGACCGTCTCACCTGTTGACCAGCTGCTGCAACTCACTCCTAAATTTTATAATCACCAATTGCTACGTGTAGCTGGTCTGCAACCTCAATCAGCTGTCAGGTATTTATTTCTAATAGAACTATTCGAATGTTTTAAAATAATTTCTGTCAGAAATTGAGGGCTGCTTGACCATCCTGAAGTCATGGACATATCCCTCTCCCTGAGGAATACCGAGACCATTATGTTCATTAAAAATCCTTTCATAATGACATCCCTACTATCAAAAGGGCACAGAGATGATTGACCTTGGCATCCAGGATTAAGGCAGCATTATTTTTCTTGATTACCAGCAGCAGAATAGAAGGGAAATTATAAAGCCATTGAGAGGATTAATACAGCCTTGATCTCTCTCTCCTGGCTCTTTATCTCAAGTGATTAAAATTCTGCAGGAAAAAAAAATGGTCATGTAGCATACGCCGGCTGCCACAGAAAGATACGGTATCAGCTCCATGCATCAGCTGGCTGTGACAGCCGCGCAAAGGTTAATTATGCATGCTGTATATAGTTTTAATCACTTTAATCAGAGCACTGCTCTGCTACAGCCCAGGCTATAACTTCTCTACAAGCAGGGGAAGCACTTCAGGCATTGCAGTTTGTGTAGGGAAAGAAAAGGGAAGAAAAATGGTACATTAACCACAAAAAGAAAGATAATGCAAAAGCTATTGACTGAACAATAAGATTAAACCGGGTGTCCATCCTGGATATGCAGTGAGCGGCTAAGTGAACTGAGCACAGGGGTGGGAGTAACACTGGCTGCCTGAGCCCATGTAGAAGCAGGAGCTCTGCTGCCAAGATTCTGACACATAGCCTGGCCCCTGAAAAAGGCAAGATGTCCAGGAGTCAGGGGTGCTGTGGCCTCTGCCTTTGATGGGTTTTGAAGTCATGAGCAAGGGGCTGAGGCCCAGGGATTGCAGCATTTGTGTAGGGAACACTTGGCTGCCCAGTTGTTATGCCACACACTCT